TATGTTCTTAGAGATTTATTGGATTGGATCTTGTCTGAGTTTGTTGACCCTGGGTTAGATATTAAAAAGGCCTTATTTAGGCAAGGGGGTAATAAAATTTCTGGACCATATGGGTTTACTGTTGGTGTTTTTTTAAAGCTTTATGGGAAGTTTTCAAGGGAGATCTTATTACATTAGCAAAGTATTTCTTCCAGAATTCTTCTATGTTACCTACGTTCAATGCCACGACCATTGTCTTTTGTTCCTAAGGTGCCTAATGCATCCATGGCTAAGGATTTTAACCCACTATCCTATTGTTTTGTGGTTTACAAAATGATCACCAGGATTCTGGTTAATAAGCTGGCCATTTATTTCTCTAATTTGATTTCTCCTAGTCAGTCTGCTTTCATCAAAGGTAGAATTATTGTTGACACTACTTTGCTAGCTCAGGAATTGGTTAGAAGATATGCTCATAAGACTATTTCTCTGAGGTGCGCCCTAAAGATTGATCTTCAAAAGCCTTTCGATTCTATAAGTTGGAAGTTTCTATTGAAGGTCCTGTTTTAGACAAGGATGTCCCTTGTCAACCTATCTTTTTGTTTTAGCAATGAATGTGTAGTCTGCTCTCTTGGATAGGGCTGACATTGAGGGGATTTTCATATTTCATCCCAAGTGTAGAAAGGTTAGCCTTACGCATTTGAGTTTTGATGAGATTTATTAATATTCTTTCATGGCTCTATTGACTCTGTTATGTGGGTTCTAAGTGTCATGGATTTGTTTTATGACACTTTTAGGCTTAAGCTGAAAGTTGCCAAAGTATAACTTTTTGTTTGTGGCTTGTCTAAGGGTCAGATTTACTCCATTTGATCTGTGACTGGGTTTAAGTCGGGGCAATTTCCAGGTCGTTATCTGGGTGTTCCTTTCGTTACAAGGAAATTGAGTGATAAGGATTATTCGGGTTTTGTTGACAAGATCAAAGCCAAATTAAGGAAGTGGGCTAGCAGTAATCTAAGTATGGACGTCGGTTTTAGTTAATTAAAGTTTTTTTATAGCACGGTCAAATCATTAGATCATGCTGCTCGTTTTGCCAAAGTCTGTGGTTCGTAGTATTGAACAATTATTCATGAGATTTTTCCGACATAGGAGTGATTGTTCTGCTAGAGGGGCTCGATTCAGTTGGACTCAAATTTTCTCTATTAAGTTTGAATGAGGGTTGGAACTGAAGAACCTTCTGGGATGGAATAAAGCCTGCTGTTTGTTGTTGATTAAGAAGAATCTGGCAGATGAGAGCTCTCTCTGGGTGGTCTGGGTTGGAGCTTATGTTTTGAAGGGGATGACTTCAGACTTGTTGATTGTAAGCCTAATTTTAGTTGGGTTATGAGGAAATTGATGAAGTTGAGACCTGTGGCTGAAGTTTTGTTTGGTGAGATTGTTGACCGATCGATTGTATCCAACAGTTGGGTGTGGGAGAGAGTTTGTGATAGAAGGGACAAATTGAATTGGCACAAGCTTCTTTGGTTCCCTACTCACGTCCCTAAGAACTCGATCATTGCTTGGATGACTTCTCTGGACAAATTGCCTACAAAGCATAGGGTCATGCGATTTGGGATTGTCTCGAATGAGATGTGTGATTTGTGTGGAGTTGGGAAGGAAACAAGGGATCGCTTGTTTGTTGAGTGTCCTTACTCTTGTAACGTTTGCCCGAAAATTATGAGAGCTTGCAAGATTCAGCCGAATTTCATGAATTGGGAGCAGACTGTGCTTCGGGCGATTATGAATTGGAGAGGTAATTCCCTTATTGTGTGTATACTTAAGTTGGCTTGGACTAGTTTTGTATAAAGTATTTGGGAAGAATACAATTTCAGATAGTTTAGGGTTGTTGTTCACTCATTTGATGTCATTGTTAATCGTATAAAGGATACAGTTCGTATTAAGTTGACTAATATTTGTATAGACAAAGGAGATAATGTGAATATGAGGCTATGTGTTGAATGGGGACTTTCTTAGTTGAGGGTGCGTCTGGTTATAAGTTATATGTTGACTACATTCTTTTTAGTGGATTTCATGACTTATCCAAATAATCAAATAATATAAGTTAAACTAAAATAATAATTCTTTTCTTTCAAAATTTCAAAATTATTGTTATTCCTTAAAGTCTCGGGTTCGAACATCATAAATATAAAGAGTGTGAGAGTTTAATATCAAAAGATTGAGAATAAAAAAATTAATAATATACTTACAATTTCATCCAAAAGCGTTTCTTGTTAAAAAGTCTAGTAGTTAGGTATTTAAAGACATATCAGCAAGGTGATGAATCAAACCTCTGCCAGTTTGTCAAAGCCAAAATATCTATCCTGAGAACCGACAAGAGTGCATGGCCTGTGCGAGTTAAGGCGTGTAGTGGTTCCCTTTTGAAGCTTTGGGAGCTTGCAATAACAAGGGGAACTTGGTGTTGACAGATGACGACTAATAACTGATTATCTTAACAATCTCCGAGTCACTTGATTTCTTTGTATAAAAATTAAATTTAATTGCAATAACAACAAGAATGCTACTAGAGTTTTATCTTTTTTAAATTTGTATAAAATATTCTCTAGGGTAGGGGGTGCCTCCAACTTCTCAAAAAGAAGTCAACCATCGCTCTTTGAGATATTATTCTTTGCATAATATTTTTTCCCCAAATTCTATGGTTGAAAAAAGGAACAAACCGTGCATGTCTATATATTTCAACTCCAAAACTTCACGTTTCATCTCCAACTTGCCATTGTGAATGATCTTTGTTACTTTTATAATATACATAAATTTGTTGGTCAAATCTTCAAAGTGCCATTGCGAAGCAAATTTAAATAAAATTATTTTTAATACGATGATATTAACTATTTTCATTTTAAATGATTTTTAACCATGTATGATATAAATATATATTTGTATATTATTTTTAATGTATAAATAAGATTTGTAATATTATTTAATAAATCAAATATCATTTAAAATTGTATAATATATTTGTAATATTACTTTATTAAAAAATAGATTTTGAAGATAAAGTATAGATATAAATATAAAAAGAGTCGAAGAATTGGTGATGAGAAAGAATTTGTAAAGAGTAGCAATTCAAAAAAGTTGAGGTACGAAATTTGAAAAAAAAAAGAATTTTTTATTTAAAAAAGGAATTGGAGTTACATAGATATTATATAGTGGTAGTGGAGCGCATATTTTAAATTTGGTCAAAATGAATTTAAAATGAATGTGAAATTAAAAAGCCAATAAAGCATGCAAAGTTGGGGGCTAAATTGAAAAAACAGAAATTATAGCTACATAAGTATTCTAATATGATTGAGAATCATATGATTAAAATTTGGTTAAAATAGACTTAAAACGTAGTAGAAACTAAAGAAACAAGAAAATTAGATATCAAATTGTAAAATAATCAACTTATTTAACTAAACTTGAAATCTGATTCAAACTTGAATCTAAACTAAAATTCCGAGTTAACTTGAATAACTCGAATGAAAAACTCAAAACTCAAAATTCAAAGAAAAGAAATCTAATATAATTGAGTTTTACTCATTCCTAATACTTAATATCATAATTTAATTCATCCTACCACTCTTAAAAGTACAATTAATGGTAAGATTCAAGAACCGACCAAGTGGTATTATTGGTAAAAAAAATATTATTCTTCTCATAGGACTTTGGATCAAGTAATTGGATTTGCATGTTGTATATGAATTATTCACAACTAATAAAGATTCTAAACATATACTACAATATAATTACTTTAAATTATCTTTAAAAATAATGGTAAGACTAATTTCGTATTCTCTTTGATATGGAAAAAAAGAAATATTACTTGTATTTGCAAATTGCATGTTAGTAGGATTAACTGGGTTCAATGTTTGGATTTTAAGATATCTAATTTATAAGTTTGTGCCGACTTCCACCCTTTGGCCGCACAAGTGATCGATGTACCTAGACATTATCAATATTATATACTCATTTTTTACTATTTAAATTTCCATGCCGCTCATATTCTCACAAAAGAAATTGCATGCTAACTCATGTTCATGTTCATGTTCTAACAATTATAATGATTTATTTAATAAATGGTGTAGTCTGTTTTGGTATAGAAGATTAAAAGAATAATTAACTTTAAAAAGTAGCATTCTTGTTTAATCTAAATATCTAATGTATCCCACAAATGATGTTTCCATAAGATAGTTTGATCAAATCACATAAACAATCATTAATTAAATAATCAAAGAAAGGAAAACATAAGTTTAAATATGAATCAGATGGCATTTATTAATTGTTTGGAATTTGATATTGAAATGGAGGTTGGTTATCATCCAATAACGTGTCAACAATTGAACAATGTCGACCGAACGAGCGCGATGGTCCCACCTAATCTACTCAGCCAATAACCGCGTCTTATTGATAAGTCCCTTTGACTTGGGTCAACTCAACCTCCGCCACTCTCTCCAATAATAAAATGCCACCTCATCTATTACAAGTAGTTGACATATTTTAGTACCTCGAAAACTCACTATACATTTTTGGACTCCTTATTTTAGCATACTATTACTACCTACGTACTACCAAGGTTGTTCTAAAATTAGGAATTTAGCACGTTGGGTTTATCGGAATTGAATAAGTAAACCAGTTGAAAGGTTTTACAAATATATAATAAAATGCCCAATCTATTATCCCATCGAAATTAAACAACTTTCTTTTTTTTCACCCAACAAACTTGTGGGTTGAAAATCTAATATCTAGAAAAATAATTTTAAAATACTTTAATTACTATTTTTAAACTTTATAAATTATCCAGACTGCTAAAAGAAGAAGCTTTCATATTTAACCAATTGTTCTTTGTTTATGGACGCGGCTGTCGGGTGTCCGACACACTTTCTCGTATATCCTTTATATGTCTCTGTTTTCATTGGGTTGAAGAAGAAAAAAACTTGTTTGAGTTCTAAAATAAAGTTTTTGCAAACTACTGTATAATAATTATATTCTTTTTTGTGTGATATGATAATAAAGGTGGCGAACAAGAAAAGGCAGAGTACTCGGTGAGAATAGCAGGGGAGCGGTTGTCGTCGACCAAGAAAATCAAGGATTTTCGATGCGTCAGTTGGTGATGATGGGAGAAGAAGGTTCATTGCCGCCGCCTGCGGAAGAGGAGGCGCCATTGATGTTGTCAGATGTTCGTCGAGAAAGGGAGATGTCGGCTATGGTTTCAGCTTTGACTCATGTTGTTGCAGGCGATGTACCTGCAGATGATGAGGAGAATTCAGGAAATGAAAACTCGGATGGCTTTGGTTCAAGTAATATAGGGCAAAAGAGAGGAAGGGAAGAACTGGAAGGTGGCGTTACCGGCTGCGGCGGAGGGATGGCGGTTGAGTCTGTAACTAAAATTTCTACGCAGTTTGGCAACTTCGCACGTGGAGTGTCGTCTTCCAACATGGCAGCACAATTGGTCCCAACATACGAATACAACAGCAACGAGAACTACAGGGAAGAACCGAGGAGAAGATACAGGGGAGTGAGACAGAGGCCATGGGGCAAATGGGCAGCTCAGATACGCGACCCTATTAAAGCAGCTAGAGTTTGGTTAGGCACATTCAACACCGCCGAGGACGCAGCCAGAGCCTACGATGAAGCCGCCTTTCGCTTCAGAGGTAACAAAGCCAAACTCAACTTCCCTGAAAACGTCAAACTCAGAACACCTCCACCCAATCATACAAATTTCTCCGTTCCAACGTCAACGGACCCGATTGTTCACTCTCGGTCTCATCACATGGTCCCAAATCCTCAAGTTGCCGGCGGATATCAGGACTATTCTCAACTTTTCTTGAGTTCTTTCAACAATGATTTTCCAAGACGACAGCAGCAAAACCAGCCCATGTATCCATACGACCAAATAGTTTGGTCAGGTTTTTCTTCGGTAGGTTCTCATGCACAAGCGTCATCCTTGTCTTCTTCTTCACCGTCGATTTCACAACCTGTTGTTTTTCCCATTCAAACGTCGGGTCATCAGCTCAACTTAGGTAACAATCATGGTGGCGGAGTTGGAGATTTTTCTTTGCGTTCTCGGTCATTTGATTCTAGTCATTACAAATCCACCTCTAAATAGTGTCATATATATTGTTTTATTGTTGTCAGTTTATTACACTATAATTGTGATTTTTTTACTTTTATTTTTTAAGGGTTCGATATCTTTAATTCAAACCGGGAATTAGTAGTTTTTATGTTCTTATGAAGTAATTATGTAAGATGTGTAAGTACATTCTACATATCTTATTAAGAAAATCTTTTAATGAAATAATTTAAAAGATGGACTCATATCACAAATGTTAAAAAGTATAAAGTTTATCTCACATAAGAAAGGTAAAAAGAGTGATGATGATTTGTATATTATCTATTTCTCCCTTCTTTGTTGAGTTGAGTGTTAGTGGATATGTCCCTCGCACGCACATGTCGTTACCGCTATTGATCAACATGTGGTAATAGTAATTACGTGTGTTACCGTTATTGATCAATATGTGGTCATAGTAATTACGCTGTCGTCAGTTGATCCATGGTCGATGGTCCGTGGTAATTACGTGTCACACATATAATCTTTTTTAAGAAATCAAATGTTTTTTTTCCTAAAAATTTAAAATTCGGATTGGGAGAATTTTTTTTTACATTTATAGGCTATTTTTTATTTGAATATTTTCATAATTGTTACTAAAATTAGGGGAGCGTTTTAACTTTGCTTTTCTATTGTTGTATAGGTTATCACTGTAATTACATAGTGATTGATTTGACAATTATAAACACCTTAATTACAATTGATTGGAGATAACTCATTAATTACATTGAATGATATTTTAGACGGTTTTAGGTCTTCCTCCCGACCTATCAATAGAGACCATTTGTGTTCATTTTAGATAATATAAAGACAATTTTATCTACATTAATCTTTCTAAAGTGTTCTTCCAGTTCCCTATTTTTTTTCAAAGTACTAAGAATAGCAATACTGTCGGTTTCTACTTTAGAGTTTGTTGGTTACCTTACATCCTCAAGGGATATTGCGATGTAAACTGGGTAACTGACAGTAATGAAGTATGTTTTATTAATGGTTATGTTTTCACTTGAAAAAGGAGCAACTATTTCATTAAAATTTGTGATGCAGACATGTATTGCTCTATTTATTATAGAGTTAAGAGTTTATTGCTCTCGACTTTGTTGGATAAGAAGTCAAGTGGCTCAAAAACTTGATGGTAGAAATTCTTTTATAAGGAAAATAGACTCCTTTAATGTTCTTATTATGTGATTTGCATGTAAGGATTTATGTAGATTACAACCATGTGTACAATGATAAGAAAATGCATATTCGTATAAGGTATGAGTCTTTGAGATATTTAATAAGGACCAGTTTACTTTACTTAAAGTATGTGAGAAAAGAAAGAAATATTATTGATCTACTTATTAAATGGTTAAATAGAAAAATGGTTTTAGATTCATCGATGGGATGAGTTCATGCTCGTTGGTTGAGGAATTCATGGTGAATACTCAAATTAATTTTTTAAGTTCCATGAGTCAAACTAAGCAATGGAAAAACTCATAATGTACATTATTTTCTATCCATATGATGAATAATGTGCATTCACTAGGTTGAATCCCTACTCTTAATAAATTCATAGCCCATACTTTGGATAGTCGGAGTGAGAAGAACTTGATTAATTTATTGACACAAAAGATGAATAATCACTCTTAATAAATTCATATCTTAATTTTTATGGTTTGTCCTAACGAGAAGGACTTAATGAACTTAAGATTGAATTTTTGTTCTTCATATCTCAAAATTTGAGTGATTCTTTTGTACAAGAACTTGATGAATTCACCCTATCTATATGAGAGGGTGAGCTTAAAGAAACTCTTAATAATTTTTGATAATCCGAGTGAGAAGAACTTGATTAATTTATTGACACAAAGGATGAATAATCATTCTTAATAAATTCAAATCTTAATTTTTTTTGGTTTGTCCTTTCAAGAAGGACTTAACGAACTTACGATTGAGTTTTATTCTTAGTAGATTCATAGGTTAAGTGACTCTTTTGCACAAGAACTTGATGAATTCACCTTATCTATATAAGAGGGTGAGTTTAATAAAACTCTTAATGATTTCATATTCTTGATTTGGGTGATCATACTCGAGATAGACTTGATGAAACCACTCACGTAAGTGTGAAGGATTAGCCACCTTCTGTAAGAAACACTAAGTTGTTTCTCTAGAGCACCTACTATAATCTTAAGGAATTTTGGCTATTTTATTGTTTTATCATCGATTCCAGTGGATAAATGAAGTTACTCGAGATTATTTTACTTATTTAAGAGAAGAATCACTCATTTCACTATGTACTAGTTGTAGATATATTCAATAGAACTTACACAACTGATTTTGTTATTACTCTTCTCACGTTTTATCTAATTTTTGTCATAAATTATTTTTTAAATATTCTTGTACATTTATGGGTAAATGTTAGAAATATTATGTAACACCCCCTTTCTGTATCTGTCCCTAAATACAAGTTAGGAATGTCAAATAAACTTATCAAAGTATTCCTTATTCGAAAATCAATAAAATTTAGTTTCTTTAAAAATCATTAAATTTAACACTAATAACTAAAAACTACTTAATCGTATAAAATCGAAATATTATATTTTAATATTCAAATCACATTCAATTTCAGGTAGCAATATGAAAGTTTAATACTATTTTATATAATCAATGAAACTACCTAAAAATTGCTTAAATAAAAATTTATCTTGATAGAAATTAAAATATAGTTTACTAAAATACTAACCAGCAAACCATTATTTAGAACTAGTAATAATAAGTACTACCCCTTATAAGTCATTATATGTATAATACTACAAACCAATTTTAACCATATTTATATCAGAATGCCATAATCATATATATATACATGTCAACTAGAAATATCAAAAACGTCAAGAGATGTCAACTAATGCTGGTAGGAAATCCTTGATAAGTGATGCTAGACTAAGTTCCTTACTCCACACGATTTCCTTTACCTACACGTGAAACCACCACACGTTAAGTACACACTTAGTAAGGCATTTTCCCTACTCATAAATTTTCACTCCTACTCATAAACTCTGCTACGAATCGACTCATCTTGTTAAATTTACACTCATTCTCATAAATGGTATGATTTCCCTACTTCAGACTAAGGAGCTCATGTTTCATCTCCTGAATGAACTGATTTCCAATGTACTTATGCTTGAATATTTCCTGAAAGAATTGCCAAGTCATGTTCTCGGGAGGAACATGCATCGTGGCATTCGTCCACCAAACTCTAACATAACCTTATAGCAATGACACATCTCTATATAATTTCTCAACAGCGCTGCAATGAAATCTATCTAACATGATCTTGACATCATTAAGCCAAATATCTACAGCATCATGACCCTCTTCGAATTCTCCCTTAAACTCCGTGCATTCGTCCACCAAACTCTAACATACTTATAGCATGACACATCTCTATATAATTTCTCAACAGCGCTGCAATGAAATCTATCTAACATGATCTTGACATCATTAAGCCAAATATCTACAGCATCATGACCCTCTTCGAATTCTCCCTTAAACTCAAGAGCTCCCAAACTCTTTAATTCCATAGAAATTAACACTCGAGGAGTTAGAGCAAACGGTGGCCAGAATCGTGTCAGAATCGCATCCAAGGTCTGAAAGAAAGTTCTTTAAACATCTTGTTCAATCGTTTGCATTGAATTCTCTTTCCCAGACATCTAATACAAGAACATATCAACTTACATTCGGAAGGAGTGACATCAATCATATAAACACCATATCAATAATACTAATATTGTAGTGGCATGTATAAACTTTTCAACTCAAAATAGACTTGGTTTAGGCCTAGAATTGGCTAAACCTACAACTTTGATACCAATAAATGTAACACCCCTTTCCGTATCTATCCCCGAATACGAGTCAAGAATGTCACATAAACTTATCAAAACATTTCTTATTCGAAAATCAGAAAAACTTTGTTTCTTAAAAATCATCAAATTTAACACTAATAACCAAAAACTACTTAATCATGTAAAATCAAACTATAATATTTTAATATTCAAATCACATTCAATTTCAGACATCAACATGACAGTTCAAATACTATTTTATATAATCAATGAAACTGCCTAAAAATTGCATAAATAAAAATTCATATTGATAACAATTAAAATATGGTTTACTAAAATAATAACAAACAAACCATTATTTATAACTAGTAATAATAATTACTATGCCTTATAAGTCAATATATATAATACTATAAACCAATTTTAGACATATTTATATCATAATATCATAACCACATAATATACCTGTCAACTAGAAATATCAAAAACATCAAGAAATGTCACAATGATACTGGTAGGAAGTACTCTATAAGTTATACCAGATTAAGTTCCTTACTCCACATGATTTACTTTACCTACACGTAAAACCATCAAACACTAAGTATATTCTCATAACTAAAATAAAACATATCAATATATATATAATATAATGTAAACCATAATAAAGAAATCATCATATAATAATATATAAACATATAATACAAATTTAATAATTCACTTTTATATAAATAACCTTTAATTTAGCAGTTCAGATATAAAGCATTTTATACTAAATTAGAGTATTAGATGAAAGATTTACTTTCAATCTAATCGATCAAACCTGAACTTTTTACATTCATTCAAATCATAGCCCATTCTATACTAAATGAGAGAATGCAAGATACACGAGTCACTAGTATCCACTTATTACACTCTTAGTGCCAGACAAATATGCAAGTATTGTAGAACACAACATCATGTATCAATAATCGGGAATACTATAGTACCATATTCACTTACTATGTATTGCATTCCCTAAAGTAACATGGTACCAAAGTCACATTATCATGTACTCAATACAACTGCGCACAATATTTCCAAAGTTACTATGTGCATAATGCAGCTGGTGATACTCCACCTTATGGCAAGCAAACTATACCAGACAATCTCAATGTACATACAATGTGAATTTTTATCAAAATCATATATCATCCATGTACAAAAAATAT